TAGCGAACTCGAAGGAGAAGCATTCTTTAAGGCCCCACCCCGTTTGCGTGGGGGGACTCGTGACGTAAGCCTTGGCATATTAGAAGAAGAGTTAGACTTTCAGTTGCTCCAAGTGGTGGAAGTGGGAGCTGAAGAACAGAAGGGAGGATCGCCTGAAGTTCTAACCCAGTCTTATTATGCCAAGCAGGGAGAATACAGGGCACTAGGAGCAAGACCACACGAAGTTCAAGAATGGTCGAGTTATGACGATGATTATGACTACGAATCAAGCAATAACCCCAGCGAACAACCACTGAGTACGGCCGACGAGTTCAAAGGTAAGAATTTATTTTTTAAGACTGGAAAGCAGCAAAAAAGGAACACATAAGATTTGTAAACAGAGCTGCCGAAGGTTCCAGAATCACTTGCGAAGGACGCATGGTTTCATTCCTTTACGGTCATTTCGCCCTGGTTACTTAGCCCCCTTCTTTAGAACGAGAAATATTATATTTAAAGCTTGCTTGTTTTGGTTTATGGCTTAAAGAACGAGGAATATTACATTTGAAGTGCACTAAAAGACAAGAAAATAGGACGCTAAGTAACCGGCGCGGGGCGAAATGACTTTGGGGCAAAATGACCGGTTACCGTCTCGTGCATAACCACGCCGTTTGCTTTAAAAATGCCTGCATAATTGACAAAGTAAGCATTTTTCGTACACTGAAGGTCTTATTTTAACAAGTGTTCTTAACCAATGGGCAGAAATGGAAACTATGGCGTCAGCAAGAATTTGCCCATGTAAGCTTGTATATAGGCAGCTGTTTTTACCTTTAGCCTGAAGCTAAGAATAACCTTTGAACGGTGGTCGAAACGGTCGATTCGGAAATGTCATCAGTCTACGTCACTACGGAGTCACATGAGAGAGATGCGCATGCGCTTTGCTGGAAAAGTAACATGCGCGAGTGATTTCTGTCTTAAAATCACTGGAAATCTTCAACATCGTTATATTCTTTTAACGCTGCTATACCTGGGACGGAAAGTAAGCCCCTATTTTCGGTGATCTTTAAGTTTTTGTGACTACTGCGCATGCGCCAGTAGTCACTACAGTATTGCTATCGAGTTAGTTTTCTGAAAGTAAGTAAGTAACAATAGAATATACTTTGGAGCCAATCAGCATACTTAGTTTTCCGAAAATGAGTCAGTAACAATAGAGTATACTTTGGAGTCAATCAGCATACAGTTGAACTTCTCAATACGAACACCGAAGGGACAGAGCGAAGTGTCCGTATTAGAGAGGTGTCCGTGTAAAAGAGGTCATTACGATAACGTCGCTTCTACGACTCCACTTACAGTTTTAAGTGTGCAGTAGCTAAAACTAGGCCCACACCCGTCTTTAAACTGCATTTAAGTTTATTAATTCACAGTGCAAAGACACTGTCTTCCAGTATAGCATACAACACTGTACTTATCAGCTACGTGTACATACAGTCGTAGACAAATCACTGTTTTGTGAAACGAAACGAGGTGCAGCGCAATAGTGCATGTAAAAAGTTGTAACGTAAAGCACAATTCTGAAAGGGTCTTTCGCTATTTTGCAATGTCACGAAAGATCGAAAGTCTAACGAAAATCTTCTTACGGCTGCAAAGGAGACTAGACCATTTTAAGCGCATTGTAAAAATTTCATTTAATAGAGTGAGTACGTGTTCCGCGTTGACCTTTCGTTGTCATTTCTATCGTCACGCAGAAAAAATAATAACATTGACCATGTGTTGATCATTCTTCATCATTTGACGAAGTTGTCCGCATTCATGGAAAAAGTTAAAAAGGGGTTACGAATCATTGACAAACGTTGCAATGCCTTTTAAAGCATTAAAAATGCATTTTACTCTTCAGCAGTAGTCACCTGCGCTTCTTTTCATGAGCGCTTATTTTTTTTCACAGCCAGTAAACATACAACGCCAACGAACCATGTTGCTAGTACCCCCGACATCTCTCCCAGCTGGGAGGATCTTCTAAACAAAAACTTGGGTATAATGGCTGGCCTTTTGGCTAAATTGTGCGAACAGCCTGACACATACGAACGCCCACCGGGCTCGAAACTTAAGTCCACATCTGACCTGTCGGATATCTTGACTCTGGCTCTGATGAAAATCTTTACATGTCAGGCAAACGGAGGCGTTACGAAAGACAGGCAGGGGGCAATATCAGAATATCAGCCTTCATGGGGACGAGCTGGACGACGCAGACGACATTTTTAAATGTAAAATGCTCACCGAGCGTTCAAAGGCCACCCGCCAAGAAACAAAGCTTCTTTAATATTTTGCCAACAGCTTTCCACCGGCGATAAAGTCCAGCTAGAGCTGGCTGCTATTGCTAAAAAACGATGAAGCAAGAAAATGTCCTCCGACAAAATTAAAAGTTCGGTAGAACAATGCAAACAGCCTCAAAATTGCTCTGACATTAAGGGTATCAAAGTAAACCTCGAGATATGGAACCAGTTATAACTACCAAGGGCAAATAACACGCAGAATTACAGACAACAACCTTGCTGTGCCATAGTTGTTCTGCTCCAGACACAAACAAAGTAATGGCGAAGAGATGAAATCAAACCTTCATTGAAATCATCAGTATTCCACTATTTGCACGGCTGAAGTGCCTAACAGCAGCCAGCACCTTTTTGGCGACAACATGGCAAAGCAATTGCGATATGCTAAAGAAGCGAGTAAAATCAGTTATTCTTTTGCAACCTTATCTAAGAACGGGTCCTTTAAAGGTAAACAGCACGGTTCAAGCAAACATTACTCTTACACTAAAGGTCCCAAAAAGATTTTTTTGTGTGGAAAGGCCAAAAGAGGCCTTACAAAAGGAAAAAGTAACCAAACAACGACAAAAAGTAATGGAACATCAACAAGTGCTTCAAATAAAGACAAGGGTAATTGATTTTGAGAGTTTTCTTTCCAGCCTAATGAATTATTTACAATAACTAAACGCGTGACTATAAATTGTGTTATGGCCTCTGTTGCATAAAGGATGCTTATTAGGCCGGAAATTTTTAGGGTTAAATTGGGAAGGAAATTTGTATGAATTTACCTGCCTTTCCAATGGGTTGCCATGTGCTCACATACTTGCATAAGCAAGGGCACATAGCTGTAGCACATCATGATAACCCTTATTTGCAAGATCTTGCGGAACAAACTTTTGGGAATTGGGTCAACAATGTTATAGACCCCACTGTTCTGTTTTACAAATTAGGCTTGGTGAAGTCCATCCGGATAAATCTGTTTTCATACCCACACAGGTTATTACTATCCTGAGGTTAGTAGTAATTATACAACTAACCAGGGCAAAGCTACTGCATGGGTTAAAAAGGTCTTGTACCGAGCTGCTGGCAGACTCATCTCCCCCTATTAGGGAAGTGGGCTAGCTTCCCTGGGGTCGTGTATGGAGCCCTTTACTACCGGCACCTGGAAAACGACAAATTCCAAGCCGTCAAGATGACAAGGGGCATGCAATGTATACAATGTAATAACCTAACCACAACCCCAACATTAAAATAGTAACAACTGATACTTCCCAAATGGGATGGGGGGCTGAATCGGCAGGGGTGTCCTCAGGAGGGCATTGGTCCCATTCAGAGTCAAAACACCATTGATATCAACTATTTAGAAATGTTGGCTATTCTTTTAGGTCTCCAGATCTTTGCTAAAGACAAAAACAACACGCATATCGGAATAATGTGTGACAACACTACAGCCGTACATGATATTAACCACATGGGAACAAGTCACTCAGATCTTAGTAATTCTGTAGCCAAGGGGAATGGTTTATAGTAGGCAAGATATGGCTCAGTGCGGCACATATCCCTAGAAAACATAATCTTATCACAGATTTTGAATCCAGAAGAAACCAAGAGAATCTTAGTTGCAGCTTGACAAGTTGTCACTTTTTAGTAGCCTTGAGAGGCTATATTTCAAGTCTATTATTGACTTATTTGCCTCTGGTATAAATCACCAATTTTCAATTATGTGTCTTACAGACCCGCCCCACAGGCCCTTGCCATTGACACATTCAGCCAAGACTGGTCTAAACGGCTTAACTTTTATGCTTTCCCGCCTTTAAGTGTTATCGCAGCAGTACTAAACAAGTTGAAGAGCGAAGGAGCAAAGGGGGTTTTGTGTGTTACGGATTGGCCAGCACAAGTATGGCATCCGGCGCTTCTCCAGTTACCCAAAAAAGAGCCAATGCAGCTCAAAACAGGCAAAGGACTACTTGCTAAGCCATCCCAAGGAAATTCGTCCAATCTGGAGCAAGCTGAACTTTCTCGTTTGTCTGTGATCAGGGAGGGATTGAACCAGTACGGTTTGTCACAAGGTGCACAAGATGTGCTAATGGCTTCATGGAGGGAAGGTACCTCCAAACAATACCAAACATACCATAGCAGATGGCAGCACTACTGTAAAGACAGGAACAATTTTGGCTCAGACACCCTGTGTTCTGTTTATTTTATTTCGCTTATCACGTCTGGGAATAAAAATGTTTACACTGTAGAGTCCGAAAAGTAGTTCGTGCTACAGGTCTTTGAAATCTCATGTGACTCCGTAGTGACGTAGACTGATGACAAGGTGGAATTACTAAATTAACGAGACTTACCTGTAAGTTTAAGTTTGATTACGATTCTATCCTGCCATCAGTCCGGAACGAAGGAGTCACATCCCTTCTTTCTACCGTCCCTCCCGTCTCCTTCGTTTCTTTCTCCTGTATCACTCACGTTGAATACTGACCAGCAGAACGCACGCGCATCTCTCTCATGTGACTCCTTCGTTCCGGACTGATGACAAGATAGAATCGTAATCAACTTTTAACTTATAGGCAAGTCTCGTTTAATTTGGTAATTTTATGGCTAATTTTTAACATAAAATACGCATTGTTTATGTCACATATATTTTTTTTAGTAACTGACTGCCAGATCGAGAATAGAATAATTCGGCCCGGGTACCACCCTGAAACAGAATACGAGTACAACATGACAGCTCTCCCGAGAGGAATTGCACTCATCATAAACATCAAGTCGTTTGCTAGTGATCGGTGGCAATCTCGCATTGGGTCCGACAAAGATGTTCGTGACGCTAAACAGTTGTTTACTGATCTCGGTTTCATGGTACGAACGTTAGTGAACCTTTCAAGAATAGAGCTCCTGAATGAAGTTGATGCCATCTCCAAAGAGGATCACCATGCCTATAATTGTTTTGTGCTGTTGCTTATGAGCCATGGCAAGAGCGGTGTAGTGGTCTGTTCCGACGATCAAACCTTACCTATTCAGTCAATCCTTGATGTGTTAGCCAATTGCCATACGCTGTGGGGTAAACCAAAACTCCTTTTTATTCAGGCGTGCAGAGGAGAATTAGAAGATGTGGGTGTTCCCTTTCGCTCTAGTAACCTGGTCAGTCAAGCTGAAGTTGATTCCCCTATTGATAAAGAAAGGCAACCGGAAACCAGAGTACCTACCTATGCAGATTTTCTGGTAGCTTCTTCCACAGTCGATGATTATGTCTCCTACAGGGGTGATGTTGATGGAAGCTACTATGTCCGCTGTCTCGTTGAAGTCTTTCGAGAACGAGTGTCTTACCTCCACCTTAATGACATGTTGACGATAGTTAACAACAGAGTCAGTAACATGGAAGCCCCGCGGCAATCAACAAACAGAAATGAATACAGACTCGGTAAACAAATACCTGAAGTTAGACATACTTTGCGGAAACAAGTCCGTTTCTAGTCAGAACCGTCACTTCGGTCCGAGCCAAAGTATTTTCCCGAATTTCTATGAGGATTAATCCCGTTAGCCTGTGTATAGATGGTTTTCACAGTGACGTCATTAAATTGTAGAGTCAAAATGTCCAGGTTTTATGAATTCTTATTTACAATAGGTTGAAGATAAAAATAAATCTTTGTACAAGTTTCCATTCCCGTAGCATGTTTCATTTCGAAAATACAGCAATTTGAACTTTCGAGTTTTCACAGTGCCTGACACCAGAATACAGGGGCACCCAACGACCAAATGTTTCCAAATACGCCAGAAGTGTTTCAGATGGTTTTGTCTATGCTTTAGAAGTCTGTTTGGTTAATTTGGAGTTGCCCTAATAACTATTTATCTGTTCGGATGTCGTGGAGGAACTTTGGTTTTCACGAAAGTCTTTGGTGGCTTTTTCATCTCACCCGAAAGTGTTAGCTACCCTTATGGGTCTGGTCGAAAGGTTGAGGACATGAAGTAGCCTTGCTTTCGTTAAAAATTATAGGGGACGTTTTGTCTTTATACCGAAAGTTTTAGGAGACCTTTTTATCGCAATATCTTGGTATTAAAATGTGAATAACAGACTCCGAAAATCGTATAGTTAAGCTATTAGAAAACCTCCGAATATTTTAGACGAATGGAATACGGTTATACAGAAATTTTTAGCTTTTCTCAAGCTTTAGAAATTTCTAGGCAATGTTTGCTCCTTCGAACAGTTATTTTACAGAAAAAAGTCGCTGGGTGCCCCTGAAAATAGGAAGGTAACGTAAGGTAAGAAGTTTATTTTAGCACGATAAAAAGATCAGCATTGCTGGTGGGGTCGTGCATACAACAATTACAAGAAAAATAAGGAGTACTGAAAGCAAATGTACGATTAAAAATTAAAAACTGTTAAAATGTTTGTAACCGATATTTCAGTTTTTAGTTGTAGCTAAAATAGGTTGTGAAAATGTACAATTGGAAATTAAAACTGTTAAAAGTATTGGTAACGGATATCTCTATCTCGTCGACAAAAAGTCTCCTATTGATTTTCAGCAGTATAACCATTTCAAGGATTAGAAGGTACGTTTATGCGCACGTACGTATGCTAGTTCTCGAGTGCAAAGAAAGAGCTTTTATAGAAAAAATGAACTCCAGATGTTTTTGTTGATTTCCGGCGGCCATATTAGTGCACCAAAACGGTACATCAACATGGCGTCTCCATACAAAGCTCTGCAAAGGTGCGTGAAACGTTTCGGCAAATAACTCAGAAACTGTGGGCAACAAAGACCTCAGACTTGGACAAATTGTCGATAAATTAGTCTCTTCTAACATTTCATTGTCTTGTCTTCTTCCACTGGACGGTTTTCAATTTATTTTTTTGTTGCGTGACAGTGAAAACGATCTATAGACGCCCCCTTCCCTCACAAAAAATTTGAGGGCAGGGGGGATGTCTGTACACAGGCTATAACCCCGGCTTCTTTCATTGGGAAAACAGAATCAAAAAAGAAATTCGTAGCCGCTCAATTTCCGGCCTAGTGGCATATACTGGGCAACTTAAGCCTCAACCACACGTCTCCGGATATTTTTGAAAACGAAGATTTTTTTTCTCCGTTTTCAAAAAGTTACGCATCCATACGTAGCTTAATTTTTTTGCTGCCCTTCCACACAAACATTCTAAAATGATGAAAATACGATTGCGTCACTTACATAGCGTGCGCTGTATGGTTTGTAACGTTATCTTGTTCGAATCAAGGCCGTCGCGTCTGTCCAATCCGGCGTTTTCAAATATCTTTCCTCTGTGACTGTGGCCTTTTTTAAAAAACCTGCGTTTTTAGCGTCAAAAACGCTGTTTACGTGTGGACGAAAGGCTAAAACGGAGAAAAATGTCCACTCTGAAAAATATCCGGATGCTTGTGGACGGGGCCTTAGTGATGTTAGTGACAGCCTTGCTGAACATTTCTTTTGCGTCTTCTGAGGCATTGCGAAAGCCGAACGGTGTTCTCTATTTTGCATGAAGAAGCAAGGTTGTTAAAAGTCATTTTTTGCACGATTCAAGTTTTCCTTAAACAATTGATATTGCCAGATGTTTTTATTTGGCGGAATCAGTAAAATTATAGCCAAAGGTACGCCGACCGTTCAATTCAATTCTCCTTTGGCTCAAGACGTAAAATAATCGGTACTGGCATGAAGTATTTGTTTAAATTTTGGGCGTTGTTTTGGACAAACTAGTGCCTCTTTTGGATTCAGTACATCAAATACGTAAATCGCAATGCACTTAAAAATCGATAAGAATGCTTTCGATTTACTCAGTGGGTTATATGCTTCTCATTTACTTTATTGTGGACGCGGGTTTCGAATAGAAATACATAGAATAATCTGGAACGTTCTGTTGATTGACCAGCTGTTTCGATTCCGAAATAACTGGAATATATTTAGGCATTCCTCTCCATGGGGCAGAATTATTGGATTGAAACAGAGTAGTTGCGTCTTTTTTTCTTGTATTGCGACCGGTTTTCACATCAGCCAAAAAAAATGGCAGTCGGTGATAATAACCAAAATTTATATCAGAGGGACGAGGCGCTTCGTTTAGAAGGTTCTGCCCAAGCAGAGAAGAAACCTTTCGGTGTATTTCCGTACGGAAAGCGAGAAAGTTGTTTCCTTGCTGGTCCTACAACGGGGATGTTGTTCAAGTCGAAAAATACAAGGGAAAATTTCGTTTTGTGACAATGAAGGAGAATGAGTGGTTCGTAAGACATTTTATTTTTTTTAAAAAAAAAATTGAACATAACCCGTTTTAATTTTATGGTGTGTTTTAGCTTAATGTAATAAGTGTTTTTGTAAAGGTTGTTTTTAGATAGGAATGTATTATATTTTTGCATCGTAAGATCGTGCGAAAGGTTTCGCGTGTTCAGCTGCTATTTTATTTCTTTCATCATATTCATGTACAATAATACTGCACAAAAAAGCAGTCTAAATTTAGGGTGAAAAGGGTAGTTTTGGTACGGTTTTACTGAAGCACGCAAAATATCTCATGTACGTAAAACGTGCCTACGTTTTAGAATTTTCATTGTTAAGCACCATACAAGGGGCGCACCATTAGAAAAGCTATGGGGGGAGAGGGGAGGGGGGGAGAGTCCGAGCCGCATGAATTTGTTTTCGTTAACATTTTCCTTCTGTGAATTTTGTTTTAGGCCATTGCATGAATATTTTTTAGGGTTAATTTGCATTTGGATCTGGAACGCAAAAACACCTTGAAACTAACATCTGATTAGGCGTTCTTTTGTCTCTTGTTGAAGAAGTACCACCTAATCGCCGGTTACTTTCAAACGAGTTCTTGTAAACTAAAAGTAAATATTGAGTAAACAAATTATGTCTTTTTTTACCTCGCTCGAAGGCAAACAACGCAATAGGACAATATAAAGAAAGGAAAATAGCTTGTTTGGATGATAAATTTTTTACGTTTTTCTTGCCCCTCTGCGTCATATGCTCTGCAGCAAGGTGTTTTTGTTTCATGTAACCTTTAAGGGCCCATTATAGGGGAACACGTGTACGACTTATTCACATGTCGTATTCCTATTTAAGAATAGATAAGTTGTATATAGTACGAATTATGCGTTTATAATCTAGATAGCCTCAACACTTTATAAAAATCAGGCTTGCCCAATGATTTCCCTTAGGACATTTCTGTGTGTTGAACTAGTACACGGTATTGTGGGTAGCCATCCAAAAGAAAGGATATGACATGTAGAATCTAGATGACTGAAAGAAACTTTTGCTAGTACAGTAGCTTAGGAGGAGTTGACCTTAGGTTAGTTTTATTTGCATAATTATTACATTAGAAAAAAAAAACACGGGTAACCTTAACAAATTATATGTTCTGTAGAAAAAAAATAATAAAATAATAAAAAAAAAAAAGGAAAAAACAAAAATAATATAAAATAACAAAAATGAGTATGAAAAAAGTATAGATATCAATATACGCCAAAACTTGAAAAAAAGGACGAGGAAAATTNCCAGAATTTCAGTTCACTAAATACCGTGTTTTAGAATTAGAATAGAAACTTAAGGCCCAGTTCAGACGTCGTGCTTCTGCCGTGCCGAACTAAATTCAGGAATTAAGTTCGACAAAAGCACGGCAGAAGCACGGCGTCTGAATCAAACTTTTGAATTAAGTTCGGCAAGCAATTAAGTTCCACAAGCGCTGCTGTGCTACACGGCTCTGGCACGGCAGCGATTCAAACGTCGTGCTTCTGCCGCGCTAAACAAAATTCATAAATTATATTAATGTATTTTGGCAAGATTGCCTTCCCACGGGGAGTTGGGAGAAGAATTGTTACGAGGTATCAGTAAAGCCTGAATTTGGTTCGACTTTGGCACGACGTCTGAATCAAAGTTGTTTTCCTGTCGTGCTACAGTCGAACCAAATTACAATTAAGTTCGGCACGGCAGAAGCACGACGTCTGAACTGGGCCTAAGTTAAGCTAGTTGTAGTACAGCCGAAGCTCTCGTGCGACCACCTCGGGAATTCGAAAAAGTGGTCGTAACTAGAGCTGGTCGGCTTACGAGAAAGAGCTCTCGTAAGCGACCGAATGGTGAAATAACAGGCCGGTCGCTTATGCGAGCTTCAAAAATAATTCCTAAATAAAAAACAAAAGAAATTAATGTTCAATGAGTGTCTTTATATCTGAAAATTATTGAACTTTTACAAATACAATACTGCACTGTATGAGATCTTTATCTACGAACCATTAGCGCAGTGTGCAGTTTCATTAAACTGTTGATTTTTATGAATTGGACGCGGAGTGGTCGCTTACGAGAGCTTAAGATGAAAACAAAGGTTAATCCCAAAAGTGGTCGCGGTCGTTTACGAGAGCTTTTCCTTACAAAGTTTAAGTCCCAGTTCAAACGGGGTTTCACACGGGTGGTCGTAACTAGAGCTGATCGCTATAGAGAGTGGTCGCAATGAGAGCTTCGACCGTATTTTACAATCTTGAAAGGGATAA